AGAGAGAGAGAGAGAGAGAGAGAGAGAGAGAGAGAGAGAGAGACAAAGAGAACGAGCGAAGGGGTGGGAGAAGGACGAAAAGAGAGGTTACACGCGAGAACACGCGAAGAGAGGACGCGACCGGCTAGATGAACGGATAGATCAGGGCGAAGGGGAGGGAATAGTCGGATGGGAAACGATTGGAAAGCAAGGGAGTTGGTTAGTCGGATCGGTCGTCGTGCCGATGGAAGCGTCGTTGCAGCTACGCGGGGGGTTGCGCGCGGTATACCGGGGGCTGCGGAGGCGGACGGTCGCCGGGACGAGCGGGGGCAAGTTTGAACGTCGGTACAGATACGGCATTATGAAAACACGAATGTACTTTTAAATCAATACCACCATCGCATTGTGGGCACCGGTGAGGGCGGTACGTTCGCATCCCGCGAATACGCCGCGAGGGAAGAGGGAGACCGAGGCCGATGGCGCTGCCACGGCGTTGCCGAGGGGTCATAAGGGAATAGAGGGACAGGATAGGTATACAGGGCGGGGGGGGAGGAGAGAGGGTTGAAACAGCGGGCGTGGGAGGCCGAAGAATACGAGAGGAATGGCTCCGTGACAAGCATCGCCGCAACTGCTTATGTTCAATTATGAATTTGTAATTGTAACGGCACAAGTACCTTGTCGCTTTTCTTGCTCCCTACGAGGCTTGCCCCCTATCTTTCGGCGTAGAAGCGGCTCCGCTGCCCCCCCCGATGCAGCTACTGACAGCTATTGGCTACGCGGAGATATGTGCGAGTAGCGACGGCGATTCCGTTGCTTTTAGTCAGTTTGCACAATTATGCGGCGTAATTTTTTACAATTTTACAGCATGCGTGGAAAATTTTTTTCAAACAATTATTACGCTGTGATGAGCTAAGAGATGTCGTGTCGTATCTTGTGGAGATTCAATCGTAGAGAGAAATGAAAGAGCTTTTTATAAATATATAAAAAAAAAAGAAAAGGTGAGTTAACGAGTCGCGAATCGAGGTCTCTTTCTCGCGCCCCAATTTCATCGAGAGAAATAACGATTCCTGATACTATTTATATTTTCGCTCGCGCACTGACTACAAGGACTCTCGGCAACTTTCATACGCGTAATGTTTCTGCAATAACATTCTCGAAGCAATCACGCTGACTGTGTACAACTTGCCAATGCGCAAGTTGATTGCAACAACCGGAAAACATGAATAACGCCAATAACGCCATTAGCAAGGGATTAACGCTATCGTGTCATTAAGATAAAACGCGCTGCTTTGTATATTACACCACTAGATTCGGCTTTTCCGAACAATCTTAGTTTAAAGCACAAATTTTACATTTTTTTTTTCTAGACTTTTGAGCGGTAAAAAGGTCCCAGGCATTTATTCCTCATTACGGTAACAATCAAGCGGAAAAAGAGAAGTGTTTTACGTAAAATGACGTTGTTGGATTGGTTAGAAAAGCAACGAGTTAATAGCACTTAACGCCAACCGCGAACGCTATCGAATGCAACTTTTTATTCAGCAAGCGTCAGATTTTTATTCTGTTATTCGCGCACGTGTAAAAAATTCCGTATGCAAACACTGTGAGCGCGTGTGTGCGTGGCTAGCACGTGCATGGTAGAAATTTTTACTCGCATCGAAGGAATGATGGAAGCATAGTCGACCACCTGTATGCTTTAACAGTGGATCGAACCGTACCTGTTACTCAGCCGACACATCTGACGTGGCGCATCCCCGAATATATATGCGTTCGTTTTTGTCTCGTAAAATAAAGACGTCTCTCTCTCTTCAGCTGTTTATTGAAAATAAACGTTCTTCAATTACAATTTTATTCTTATTCGACGTTACGTTGGAAGTCGCGTATCTATTATATTCTTTCGCCGGCGTACCTCAGCCGGCGAAATACGCATGTAAATTATTGACTTTTTCATCACGAATTGTTAGGTATTTTCAGAAAGATATTTCGCGCGACAAATTATATCTTGTCGGATAAATCGTACGAAACATACAAATAATACGTATTATTTGTAATTATTCTCGAGCTCGGTACATATAGCCGTCGGTACTTTATACGCATTAACAACACGTACTCTTTCTCCCTGCATTTATCGCTTTATAGCTTTTTACGCCGTGTATTTCATACGCGTCAGATGTGATATGCCAATCCGAAAATAAAAATCATCTCAAGCACCGCGTACGCGAGCGCGAAATATCAATATAGACTAGCTGGCATAGTATATGCTTTTTGG